TACCTACATTGTATGTTTAAATCAGGAAAACTAGTACAGGATAGGGGGAAGGTTACCTACATTGTATGTTTAAATCAGGAAAACTAGTACAGGATAGGGGGAAGGTTACCTACATTGTATGTTTAAATCANGGGGGAGATTACCTATAGTTAAGTCAGGAAAACTAGTATAGGAAAGGGGGAGGTTACCTATAGTTAAGTCAGGAAAACTAGTATAGGATGGGGGAGATTACCTATAGTTAAGCCAGGAAAACTAGTATAGGAAAGGGGGAGGTTACCTATAGTTAAGTCAGGAAAACTAGTACAGGATAGGGGGAGGTTACTTATAGTTAAGTCAGGAAAACTAGTATAGGATAGGGGGGAGGTTACCTATAGTTAAGTCAGGAAAACTAGTATAGGATAGGGGGAAGGTTAACTATAGTTAAGTCAGGAAAATTAGTACAGGATAGAGGGAAGTTACCTATAGTTAAGTCAGGAAAACTAGTACAGGATAGGGGGGATGTTACCTATAGTTAAGTCAGGAAAATCAGTATAGAGTAGGGGGAGGTTACCTATAGTTAAGTCAGTAAAATCAGTATAGAGTAGGGGGAGGTTGCCTATAGTTAAGTCAGGAAAACTAGTATAGGATAGGGGGGATGTTACCTATAGTTAAGGCAGGAAAATCAGTATAGAGTAGGGGGAGGCTACCTATAGTTAAGTCAGGAAAATCAGTACAGGATAGGGGGAGGGTACCTATAGTTAAGTCAGGAAAACTAGTACAGAACAGGGGGAAGGTTACCTATAGTTAAGTAAGGAAAACAAGTATAGGATAGGGGGAAGGATATTATAGTTAGGTCAGGAAACCTAGTATAGGATAGGGGGAAGGTTACCTATAGTTAAGCCAGGAAAAAAGTACAGGATAGGGGAAAGGTTACCTATATTTTAAGTCAGGAAAACTAGTACGGGATTGGGGGAGGGTACCTATAGTTAAGTCAGGAAAACTAGTATAGGATAGGGGGGAGGTTACCTATAGTTAAGTCAGGCAAACTAGTACAGAATAGGGGGAAGTTTACCTAAAGTTAAGTCAGGAAAACAAGTATAGGATAGGGGGAGGTTACCTATAGTTAAGTCAGGCAAACTAGTACAGAAAAGGTGGAAGGTTACCTATAGATAAGTAAGGAAAACAAGTATAGGATAGGGGGAAGGATATTATAGTTAAGTCAGGAAACCTAGTATAGGATAGTTGGAAGGTTACCTATAGTTAAGCCAGGAAAAAAGTACAGGACAGGGGAAAGGTTACCTATATTTTAAGTCAGGAAAACTAGTACGGGATTGGGGGAGGTTACCTATAGTTAAGTCAGTAAAATCAGTATAGAGTAGGGGGAGGTTGCCTATAGTTAAGTCAGGAAAACTAGTATAGGGGGAAGGATACCTACAGTTAAGGCAGGAAAACTGGTATAGGATAGGGGGAAGGTTACTATAGTTAAGTCAGGCAAACTAGTACAGAATAGGGGGAAGTTTACCTAAAGTTAAGTCAGGAAAACAAGTATAGGATAGGGGGAGGTTACCTATAGTTAAGTCAGGAAAACTGGTATAGGATAGGGGGAAGGTTACTATAGTTAAGTCAGGCAAACTAGTACAGAATAGGGGGAAGTTTACCTAAAGTTAAGTCAGGAAAACAAGTATAGGATAGGGGGAGGTTACCTTTAGTTAAGTCAGGAAAACTAGTATAGAATAGGGGGGAGGTTACCTATAGTTAAGTCAGGAAAACTAGTACAGAAAAGGTGGAAGGTTACCTATAGTTAAGTAAGGAAAACAAGTATAGGATAGGGGGAGGTTACCTTTAGTTAAGTCAGGAAAACTAGGATAGAATAGGGGGGAGGTTACCTATAGGTAATTCAGGAAAACTAGTATAGGATAAGGGGAATGTTACCTATAGTTAAGACAGGAAAACTAGTATAGGATAGGGGGGATGTTACCTATAGTTAAGTCAGGGAAACTAGTATAGGATAGGGGGGAGGTGGCCTATAGCTAAGTCAGGAAAACTAGTACAGAATAGGGGGAAGGTTACCTATAGTTACGTCAGGAAAACTTGTATAGGATAGGGGGAAGGTTACCTATAGTTAAGTCAGGAAAACTAGTACAGGATAGAGGAGAGGTGATTATCAGTTCTGTCATGATAACTGGTATATGATAGGGAGAATGTGGCCTATAGTTAAGTAAGAATATATAGTATAGGATAGGGGGGAGGTTACATATAGTTAAGTCAGAATAACTAGTTTAGTATAGAGTGAAGTTTATCTATAGTTACGTCAGAATAACTAGTATAGAATAGGGAGAATGTGGCCTATAGTTAAGTAAGAATATATAGGATTGGGGGGAGGTTACATATTGTTAAGTCAGAATAACTAGTTTAGGATAGGGCTTAGTTGGTCTATAGTTACGGCAGAATTACTAGTTTAGGATAGGGCTTAGTTGGTCTATAGTTACGTCAGAATAACTAGTTTAGTATAGAGTGAAGTTGGTCTATAGTAACGTAAGAATAACTAGTATAGGATAGAGTGAAGATGGTCTATAGTTACGTCAGTATAACTAGTATAGTATAGAATTTAGTTGGTCTATAGTTACGTCAGTATTACTAGTTTAGTATAGGGCTTAGTTGGTCTATAGTTACGTCGGTATAACTAGTTTAGTGTAGGGCTTAGTTGGTCTATAGTTACGTCAGTATAACTAATTTAGTGTAGGGCTTAGTTGGTCTATAGTTACGTCACTATAACTAATTTAGTGTAGGGCTTAGTTGGTCTATAGTTACGTCGGTATAACTAGTTTAGTATAGGGCTTAGTTGGTCTATAGTTATGTCAGTATAACTAGTATAGTATAGAGTGAAGTTGGTCTATAGTTACGTCACTATAACTAGTTTAGTATAGGGCTTAGTTGGTCTATAGTTACGTCAGTATAAGTAGTTTAGTATAGGGCTTAGTTAGTCTACAGTTACGTCACTATAACAAGTATAGTATAGAGTGAAGTTGGTCTATAGTTACGTCACTATAACTAGTATAGTATAGGGCTTAGTTGGACTATAGTTACGTCAGTATAACTAGTTTTGTATAGGGCTTAGTTAGTCTATAGTTACGTCAGTATAAGTAGTTTAGTATAGGGCTTAGTTGGTCTATAGTTACGGCAGTATAACTAGTTGAGTATAGGGCTTAGTTGGTCTATAGTTACGTCAGTATAACTAATTTAGTATAGGGCTTAGTTGGTCTATAGTGACGTCAGTATAACTAGTTTAGTATAGGGCTTAGTTGATCTATAGTTATGTCAGTATAACTAGTTTAGTATAGGGCTTAGATGGTCTATAGTTACGTCAGTATAACTAGTTTAGTATAGGGCTTAGTTGGTCTATAGTTACGGCAGTATAACTAGTATAGTATAGGGCTTAGTTGGTCTATAGTTACGGTAGTATAACTAGTTGAGTATAGGGCTTAGTTGGTCTATAGTTACGTCAGTATAGGAAACATAAAGTTAGTAGTGTTACAAATAAATATTTAGTCATGGTGTATAAACCATATGCAAAAGAGTCCTTTTTGATTAACTATATACTGACATTACTTGGTTACAGTATATGCAAGTGCTATCACATAAGTGAGAAAAAAACAAAACAAGTAGATGTGTTCAGGTTTTTTAAAAACGAAACTATCGTTCGTATTGATGTGCTACCCGTTCTAAGGGAAAACAAGAAAATGTGGGGTAAATTAAGACAAATATTAGAGAGTAAAACATGAAGGAAACTATATAAAAAAAACTGCATGCAAATCTCTCATATGCACGTGGATGAGAGACTGCACTGCATCAGACATTAAACAAACAAAAATAGAGCTTTCCTTCCAAGATGTAGAAGTATACTATGCCTTTTTAATGTATTTAACATAGTATAAGATTAGTTTTCTTTGTTTCATCTTTGATTGAAGATGTCTCAATAACAATTATGTATGTATGTATGTATGTATGCATGTATGTTTGTATGTAGGTAGGTAGGTATGTAGATAGGTAGGTAGGTATGCATGCATGCATGTATGTATGTATGTGCGTACGTATGTATGTATGCATAAATGAATGTACAAACGAACGAATGAAATATAAAGAATGACGAATGAAAGCCCTCTTGTATGAGGACAAATATTTGTAAGTTTACTGAACCCAGAGCCCCAACTCTGGCAGTATAATCCTTTACCTAAAAACTGGAAAATAAATGTCATTTGAAAAAAAAAACTGACATCACTCGAGATTTTTTATTTTTTTTTAGTTTGATGTACACAATTTCAAACAAGCAAGGAGTTGAAACGTTCAGATATGAGCGATAAAAAATGACGACTAAACACTTTCTATTTAAGATTACTAGAAAAGAGAAACTTGCTAGAGAATGACTGTGATTTGTAAATGAACCATTTAATTAAAGTAAGTCTACTTAATAATTATGCTAATCCGCATAAAGGTAAAGAGAAATATGTATTGTGGTGTGCCATGGAATGAAATGCAATCGTAAATCAAACCTTCCAAACGCATTAATACATTAATTTATTGTCATTGCCCGACTATAAATTTCAATTCTAATTCATATAATGTATAACGAAAAACACACCAGGTCGCGATCGACTACACAGTATATTATGTGTACAGAACTCAAAGAAACATTAAACGGTGATCAAATCAATTATTACAGCAAATATACTTTACACATTTTTTTATTACATAACATTATAAAGTATATAATATCATAACTAGAAGAAAAAAAAATATATTTTACAATTATAACCCTTTGACAGGGTCGATACAAGGGTTTGTCAACACGAAGTAAAATATTCACCTTGGACTGGTGGATATGTTTTTAGCTTGACATTACTATATATGGACATAAAAGGCTAAAATTACGTAATTATTAAATGTCACTTCAAGCATTTTCAAACTTAAATCATTACATGAAACAATAAAACCACCATATTTTGATTAATAACGACTTCCTTTTGTTTATTTGAACATTTACAAATTAAGAATCTTTTTTTTTTACTGACTTCGAATGGTTTTTTTTAACTTAAATTGCTTATTAATAGCTGAGTATTTTGAAAAACGAAAACACTTCTTTAACATTTAGAGTCAATTTTTACCGTGAATTGTTTGATTTCTGTAATGGAACTATAAAATTATAGAATATACAAATTTCCACGTTCCTGATAAACGAATCCAACCCTTTCTGTCTAAACGAACACACTTATTCACCGGAAAGTTTGGCATGTTTCCACACGACACATCAATAATTTTTTTGGAGAAAATCACGTGACCTTCATCAGTCAAATAGAGAAAAAAAGTTTTTAATAAAAAACGTTTTAATATGCATATAAATAATGCATCATACAGTAAATGTTACCTGTACATTATATATTGTACAACGATATATTTCCCTGAGACAAACCTGACAATTAACTCATCATAAAATAACACATTAAAAGCGAATACGAATTAATGATAATAAAATGTGACCAGGCTTGGCGTGATATGTCAGATGACGAAACAAAAAAACAGCCAGTTGGAAATTAAGGCCGCACGTGCACAAGGAATAATTTGGCCACAAGCTTCTACAACTCTTTTTTTTTTTTTGTCATTTTGCAAATTGTTCTTTTTTTCTTGTAGTGTAGAAGATGAAGATAATTTAGGCTATACTTTTTGTACTTTGAATAAACACATTCTTTTATATATAAATCCCTATAAATTGTTTCATATTTCAATCTTTCAACTTTTCATACATAGGTAACTTGTAAACTACTCTTTTGTTTGATTTCTTTTGGAACTCCTCCTCCTTCCTCTTGTTCATTTTCTATGTCTATTTCTTTCAATTTTGCTCTAAACAGCAAACTTTCATGTCCTTCTATTTGTTTGATGTCAATATCAGTGATCTCATTGTTATATATATCCTTTTCGTGTAAGAGAAATGAATCTCCATTTTTCCTTTTCAATCTTTCAGTTTCTTTAACTTTTCCCTCGTTCTCATCCGCGTCCTCTTTGAACATTTTCATTCTCTCCATTTCCTTTTCTTTTTCCTCTTTTTCTTTTTCTTTCAGTAGTTTTATTCTTTCTAACTCTTCCACGTTTTTCTCGTCCTCTAAGAATATTTGCTGACTTTGACCCTCACCTTTTCGCGGCAGAGCCTTGTGAAGCCTTTCCCAGAACCAAGGACTATTTATATCAAGTCCGACCTGTGTCTTCATATGATATTTGACTTCCTCATCAACAATGATCATGTCCTCTTTGAGAGCGGACAATAAGATAAGGTGATTGCTTTTATTACGTAAGGATTTCTCAATGGCTGAACGGAAGGTGAAGAGGGACCATTCATCCTCAAGATGTTCCCCTGACAAAATGAAGAGCGTGTGATGACAGCGTGACACCGCTTCGAGTATATTTTCCTCTTTTGAGGCTCCTGGAGGGAAATCGCGATCTGGTATTATTAAAGTATATCCGTTTTTCTCTAAATCAGCTCGAAGGGCGTTGACAGCAAATTTTCTATCAGTGTCACCATAGGCAAGGAAAGCGTCAAATTGGATTTCGTCTTCTCCTTTATCATCTGTATCATAAGTATTTTGTATACATTTTCTAATATTCGGGAGACCTCGGACTCCACCATTATCAGCAGTGTATTTATAATTTGGCATCGAGTATAATATTTTTTCGCGCAGGAGAGCTTCACCTGTGTGTACAAATCTTCCACGTTTAAGGTACCGTTTAAGTTCCTTGTTTGTCAGTTTTTTTCTTGGTGTGTTGTGGCCTATAACAATGACGTAATTTGTCCTCTTTTCTTTGATTTTTAATTGTGCTTCTCTCCATGCTACTTTGAACATGTCGTGTGTGTCTGTCATTTCGTCCGACAGAATCAGAATCATCCGTTTACTCCGGCGTACGATACTAACTATATTCTCCTGATAGGAAAACCCTGCTACAAAGTCTCTGTTAATCTCACAGATGACGTAATGTTGAGCGTTCTCCTCCAGATACGTGACGATGTTTTTCATCACCCAGTCTGTTACACCCGGACCATGTATGACGACGGCGTCTATTTTCTCCTTTCCGCCTTTCTTGTCCTTGTCGAATGGATGAATGCCACAGTATATATACAAAAGGACCTTCACCTCCAGACGGTATATGTAGAGCAAACCGAGTGCTACCAAAAACACTGCCAGGGATAGCGAGCTAGACACGACTGGAGTGATGACATGTTTCACGGAATCAAAATCCTCTACACATATAAACTCTTTATCAGGTAGACTGACGAACTGTTTCCCATCGTCGTTCTGACTGTTACAAGAAATCTCCGTCCAGTCAGGAATGCGACTTTGGTGATTTAGTATCCATGACTTCATCCACAAGGTATTGCAATCGCAACGGAAAGGATTGTTCTTAAGCATTATCAAAGGAGTTTTCATATCCCTAAATTGAGCTGGGAGAATTGCTAGAAGATTCGAATCAAGATAAAATAGCATCACATTTTTCAAAGAAGATATTGCCGAGCTTTCGATGACCTCTAGGTTATTGTAACTGAGTACGAGTTGTCTTACTCGAGACAGATACGCCTTGTTTTCTAAGATGGAGATGTTGTTTCGATGGAACCACAAGTCAAGTCGACCATCTGGTAGAACACTCGGCAATGCCTCCAAACTCCGATCCCGACAGTCCACGATGATGACCTCCGACACAGATCGCTTGTAGCACCAACACTCTGCTGGACAGTTAGTGACGTTAGTAACACAGTAGGTCTCCTCTGGCTTTACGTTAAGGAGTCGTCTCCCCCTGAGTTCATATGGATACATACAAATCCATTCGGTAAAAAAATATTCTGTACCAGTCAACAGCCCATCACGTTTTAGTTTATGGATCCATTTCGAGAACGTGATAATATTGCAGTCACAAGTGATCCTATTGTTGTCTAGAATGAAATGGAAATGGCGCAGGAGAAGAAGAAGAAAAGTATGTTGGAATTCGGTTAAATTTGGCTGGATCCAGAAAGTTGTTATTGCACTTCCGGTGAGGTCCACCTTTCGTAACGTGTCAGCTGGTTTGTTCAGGTCAAGGTTTGCACTACTGGTCGACTTAATCACGGCATCTGTCAGCCGAGACCAGTTCACGCGAGATGTGATCTCTGTCAAGTTATTGAAGGATATAAATGTGTTCCTGATGTAGGCTGTATTGAGGTAACGTAGGTAGAAAACAATATCAGGCACAACCCTGAGAGGGTTACTATCAAAATACAACATAGTCAGGGTGGAGGAAGTAATAAGAAATGACTTGGCCTCTATCGTCACTAATTTATTGTGCTCTAAATGGATTTCTTGTAGGTGTGATAGAGTCGAGAAAACTCCATTCGGTAGATGTTCCAATGAATTGTTAGCGAGATTGAGATGTACTACATTTGTAACATCTTTAAATAGTTTAGTTGGTAGCGACTCTAAATCATTACTGCTTAAATCAATATGTCGGAGGCTGGTTAATCCTAGGAAAAGACCTTCCGGTACCGACCTCAGTTTATTAAGAGACACGTCAATATGCTGAATACCAACAAGATGGCGAAATGTTAACGACCCTATTTCTATCATTCCATTTCCCGACAACCGAATCATTTGGAGATGACCTTTAAACAGAAAGTTTGATAGATTTGATATTCGATTGAAGTTAAGATTAAGAATTCTTCGGTATAGGTTAGGGTCAAGTTCAATGTTAAAAGGTTTCGCATAATGCTCAAGGAAATATTGCTCCATAGTGAGGTTACCTGTTAACCTGACCGACTGCTCCGTCCAGGGAAAGTCTTTAGGTGGAAGAGTGAGTTGACAGTTAGATATTTCTAAGGACTGAACGTTAGGAATCTTTCGGATAATGGACGGCGGAAGTTCCGTTAGAGACATATTTGTCACAGTCAATTCTGTCATATTAGGGAACACATCAGCGCATCGGAATAGGTCAACGAGGTCCTGTTCCGGATAGCCATAGGAATGAGTAATCCAAATGGATTGCACATTGTAAATGGCATGACATTCTGGGATGGATTTGTTTGACGAGAGACAGTCTGAACCATTTGTATGTATATAGGCTTTGCTTGGTAGGGTGATGGTTTTTAAGTCAACAGCAGTAGATAGACGGTTCAGACTCCTGTAAGTAGTCCTACATCCCTGCATTTGGAAGTAGTACCAGATATGATTTAGGGAATCTCCAACAAACTCACTCATATGAATGATGAAAGGTCGCTGACAATGGATAGCTAATATTGCAACAGCAGGTTCTTGTGTGAAGTTGTAATTATGTAAAATGGTGGTGAGATTTATGTAGCAGTGCATGCCACGCGGAGGCTGAAGTAAATACGCCATCCCCTTAAAGGGCACGTTGTTGCCATGGAGACTGAACATGGTAATAGGTGGAAGAAGGCTCGTCTTGTTCATGCAGGCAGGGATGCCACATACGTCAGCATCACGTGATGACAAAACGCTACCAAACATAAATAAACTGATAAAGACTTGGATTTCCATAAAATGTCCCGTTTTCATGGCTTTGACGATGATGATGACGATTATTATGGAATATGAAAGTTGCTAGATTTCTGGAGTTCCTGATCACCATCACTTTACACCACGCTGATGTCGTTCCATTTCATTACCACCACTGATCCAGCATCATGCAAGATATCTCTGTAATTAGTGAAGGAATGTACATTTAATATGTGTGTTACAAAAGATAAATCAATCAGGGTAGTTATCGTTTAAGTTTTAGCCGACAACATGTATAAAACACCATGTTTGCATTATTTTATTTCCTTTCAAGCGACTTAATATAACATCAATGCATTTGTATTCTAAGCAATGGCTCGTCAAACGTTGCAATCATAAATAATTTTGTATTTTATATTAATGTTCGAACAATTCTTTTTGTTTTCAATAACTGTATATATATATATACTTTATGTTATGAATGTATTCAATAATTGTAAAAATATATATGTGCAATAAAAATATGTGTGCACTTAAAATATATTTATATTCAATAATATGTTCACATATGTTCTAAAAATACATCAGAGGTGGTATCGTTTCTAAGTTACAGTTAGGTTTCAAACTTAATACATTGTAAAGTGTAATATGTGTCCACTCATTTTTTGGCGTCCATTGACACAAAAAACACCTTACACAACCATGAATAAGTGCATCGATTTTTCCTTAAGAAAACGTACTATTTCTAAAATCATTCTTCTATAGTTATCAACATTCTTCTACCGTTGTCACTGTAAATAATTTAACGCATTAGAGCTAGCGTAAATAGCACATAAATACGAATACTGATAAAACAAGTGCGTTCACAGAAAATATGCCACCGTATGACCTCCTGGATCATGTCAGCGCTAATTAAACATAGCCCCTTAGATGTCGCTGTGGCCATTTAACAAAGTATGCTGTATTAATGATGAGTAAGAACCATAAATGTCTAGTGTCAGTCATTTGAAAACAGTGACCATGTAAATAAATGTTATTCGCTGTGTGCATTGTAAGCTTCACACAAACAAAACTCCCCTTCCCATATATGAATAAAGAACCAAAATAACCCTCCTCTGAAAAAAATAATAAAATAAAATACGAAACAATTTTATTTGTCTGCCTAATTTCTTGTAGGAACGGAAAAGCAACGATTCAAACCATCAGAACAAGACGTGAAACAAAGTTACGTTCACTTGTCAAACGCGCGCGCGCATTCAATTAAATAGTGGTCCACTCTATCATTTATCATTACTTGTCATTGATCACAATATTAATTAAAGTGTCAGAATGCCATTTTATGAGTTTTTGACTTATACGATACAGTGACAGATGACGTCAGCGTTTCAGTGTCACAGTCGGTGGTAAAGACGACGTCCTCATTTCAATGTTAGAGCAGTATGTATGACGACGTCAGCATTTCAGTGTTAATAGTCAATAGTTTAAATGACGTCAGGGTCTAATATGTATTTCTTACCTTTATTCAATCAAATCTTCTATAAGATTCAATGAAAACTAAATTGATCACTAATGCCAACTTCAACTTGGTTACGCTATGGAAATGTTTACACACACGAAAACAACCGACTATTAAAAGAATATCATTTATAATGTCTTCCATGGGTTGTCTCTTTTAATTGTCCCGTGGCGAGATGACACATGCTCATATAAAGTAATCTCACTACAGCAGGTAAAAAACACAACAGTAATAATGATGGCATTATACAAGCAACCACATTAACACAAGTCTAATCAAGTGCATGTCATCTCAGGAGAGACGTTATAGCCACATTCCACTATGGCTGATTCCTCATACCTTTACGTCGATCGGTACACTGTTATCAAAAGAAATTATTATCAAAGCTATATAACTTTTTAAGTGAAATATATTTCCCGCTGTAATAATAAAAAAAAGTGTAACGAAAATGTGTACATCAGTTAGCATTTAGAAAATTCTATTTATTGAAATCTATAATGCGTAGCAGCAAATCATCTCTCTCGAAATATTAACAGAATGGCAGTATATAAGACATCATTCCAACGATCTTTTTATTATCTTACGTTGTTGTCATTTAATAAATAGCCACACATGTTGTGTCATAATACGTACATTACCTTATCCGATTTTAATCAACGTACATTTACATAAGATATCCATAAACAATGTCATAAATGAGTAGAACTTTGCTAATTGGTAGATTTGTATAATCTGTCAAAACTCGAACTCGACCTAATTATAGATGTAAGTTTATAACCGTCACCTCCAGTAAAATAAAACAATTTAAACTAATCAAATTTCTATTAAACATCAACATTATTCCGCTAAGGAATATAGAAGTCATATAAACTTTAAAAGTATATTTGCATTTGTTAAGTTTTAAATTAAAACAATTAAATATTAATAAGTAATAAATTGTCAGCTCACGTCCATTATAGGCATAAACGTAATATAACACATACCTGCTAAATATTTCCAAACAATTATTGTTGTTGTTAATAGGTCCGATCCCAAAATTGTATAACATGCTAATCAAAATATAAACGTCTTTCCAAGTCCAGATTATGTCGGTAGATCTTCGTGCATTGCATCGTCCACAATAGGCTTCTGTCTCTATTCGCTATGGTCCTAGCACAGACGCTTGTTGGTCGCTTGTCGACACTGATCTTGTATAGGTCGAGCAATTAGTCGTATTTTACCTGTCTTACAGGTAGGAGGACAAGTGGCCGCTTCTCTGAGAGAAACATAACTCACAGCCCAGTCAGGACCCCAGGTGACTACGGTAATAGTTTATGTAGGGTCTGTTGCTATTTTGCATATATCACGCGTGTTGTTGTCAGTTTATATATTCACATGTGAGTTTACTGCAAATCATTTTATTTTCAAGGATACTTATTTTCGTGATTGCAATACAAATTACTTATTCACGAAAACTTAAAGTTCGAGAAGAGACAATAACTGGTTTACTATACATATCTATCATTTCATTCATTATGTGTTATTGATTTTCATTTCAACAGATTGTATTGACAGACGTAATAGTCAAATGGATTGAATAACTGGCAAGCCTATATTACTTCTTTTCATCTGTGGCTCAAAATTGGATCGAATATATATATACAATGTAGTTACAATAATAATGATTAATTAATTTAAGGATACTTTGAAATGAACAATTATATATATATGGATAAAGAGTAATAATAATTAAAGGTTCAGGGGAAGATAACTCCAACATGATAAACACAACCGGGACATCACAATAACAATACACAAACAACTCACAATCATACATCCAACACACATACAATTATTATTTTCTAATTAGATAATTCATAGTCAAAAGCAGTATATCATATGTACAGTAAGAGTAGACTGTGACCAAAAGTGCATGTGCATGTATGTGCACAGGTCATTGCTACTAATACTGTTTATGAGTGAATAAGTACAAATTTAAATAATGCGACAGAAAGGCAATATATTAATATGTTTATTATGTTGAATAGAAAATAAACAAGATATAACAAACCTACTCAACTGTCATCTCATTTATCATTATACACCAAAAACGTTTATACAAATGTACTTTCTTATTCGATTAAAAGTTCAGATTAAAACAAGACATATATATTTGATTTACTATATCTCAATATAATGCATCATGGCTTTCTACGTCATCAACAAATTAAAACGCCTAGTTTTTCCGATAAAAATCTGAATGTGACTTACCATGTCTGTTTATATTCAGATCACATGAAGGACAACCTTGAACAAATATATTAAAATACATATGGTTAATTTATGATTACTAATAGTATTCAAAGAAGTAAACAAAGCATTTCGTTGTTCGATATATAGTGGACAATTGAAGAAATAACGAGAGGCTGTTTCGTATTCAAAAGAACAAGAACAAGTTGGACTATCTTATAAATGGTCATGATTTAAATCAGAATTTAAATTAATACAGGAATTTCTTAATTGGCAAAGCATAATATTTACCCTTCTTTCACCGTCATTTTTAAACATTGTAGTAACTTCTCTGTCATTAACTTTATCTTTATTTTGTAATTTTTTAAACAGAGCAAGAGATTGAGACTTCAACATATCAGTATCCATAGTGTTGACATTGCGGCACATACAGGGGGAAAATTGTCAAAATAGTTATTAGTTCTACATATAGGTGGGTTAAAGAGTTTGGTTTGTCTAAGAGAGTAGAGATTGTTATTCTGGTTGTTAATAAAAGGATTTGTGACATCTTGTAAGTATTGAGGTGAGAGTCCATGCATTATCTTATATATCATTATTTGTTTATGTTTATACCTTCTTGCAGACAGTGTTTCCCAACCAAGCTCATTATAGAGTTTAATGTGTGATGTCCCTGAACGAAGACCAGTTATAATCCTAGCTGCTTCTAGTTGTACAAATTCTAGTTATTCAATAGATTGTAAGGTGCAAGTATCCCATACAATGTCTGCATACTCCAAAATTGGTCTTATAAATGCAATATATATTTTAATTAATGATTTACGACCTACCTTAGATTTGATATAACGAAGAATATTTAATCTGTTGTATGTTTTTTCATATATAATCTGTATGTGCTGTTTCCATGATGCATCGTCTGTAAAAGTAAGTCCTAAATGTTGATGTGTTTTTGAATCAGTGATTTGATTGTTTTGGAAGGATATTGGGGGTTGTACGTGGTTATGTGTTCTAGAAAATACAACTGACTTAGTTTTATTTGGGTTAAAATGTATATCCCATATATATGCCCACTCAATAGATCCCTGAGGTACCCCCTGCATTTATAGTCCAAAATGAGAGTGATATCCTTCAGTACTAACTCTTTGCATTCTGTCTGTTAAATAATAAAAAGTTCGAGAAGAGACAATATCTGGTTTAATATACAAATCTATCATTTCATTCATTATGTGTAATTGATGTTTAAAATAATATTTATTTGCTATATTTTCTCTTTATGTGATTAGAAATAGCATCACCAGATCATGGATTCAAACAGTACCAGGGAGAGGCAATGTTTATATGTAAGATAATGATTAGCAGCTTAGAGCTCATACACATTAGGGTACAATTACTATTCTACTTATCATAATTTCATAGTACATTCACATCACTGCTCCTTTTCACACATGCAAGTTATAACCTTTATTTTCACTACAAAACCTTAGATACTAGCAAAGTATTGTAATAAGTTGGATAAAAAACATTTGGCAGCAAAAAATACTAGGTCATAATACAGCAACTCCGATCGTCTCCAAAACAACTGAACAACTAGATTTTGAAATGACATCACCGCATCACATTCACATCTTGGCTATTTGTGTATGTGGTATACCTACATACTTTATAAATAGTACGGACTAGGCTGTGCTGTTGCTATAACAAAAACGTAGTACAGCTGTAGACGACAGGTTACAAAGTGTTTCATTGAAGTGATTATCTGTGACAAATGATCTATTAAACACCACTGATGTATGTGTTGAAAATACATGTGAGATATATATGTTCTTTTGGTATGTCGGATATCCCTCGTCTCAGGACATTAACAAAATATACAACAGCCAATTGCGTGCTCGAACATCAATTCACAAAATAATGACAAACAAGGCAAAACAGAAGGATGGACCGAGCAATAAGTCGTTGTTTACTTGTACATGCGTGGGAGGACAGACGCGTGCCTTTTTGACAGGATGAAAACCCACAGCTATGACAATAGGCTACTACGGTAATAGTTCACGTACAATGCACGTTCTGTTGGTTTGTACATTGCTATCTCATACACCGACACAGTTCCTCACATGTTGGTATCCACGATAAACATCTGCTTTCAAAAGAAAATTAAACTATTTGTTCACAGTGAATACAAAACATATTTTGTTTGAACAACATTACACGGACAGAGATGCTGAAAAGGTTAATAAGTGGCAAAACCTACATGACAGTAAACTTCATTTATCATTAAAACGACTATTTGCACAACCTCTCAAATGAAACAAGAGGCCCATGGGCCTTAACGGTCACCTGAGTCCTACAGTATTTAATTTTGTTGTTGAAATATGTACCAAATTTGAGTAAAAAATAGTTAAGTATAATGTTAACTTAACTTTGTCAGGACCATGAGCTGATCATTCCTAGACTGATTTTCAGTGAGATCGGCCTATTAGAACTTGTTTTTAAGTTTGGGACAGGTATTTACAACATAGCGGCCATGGCAGCAAATTGTATTTCTGATTGACCCGAAAAATAACAACACTTTGTTAGGACCATGCTTTGATCATTCCTACAAAGTTTCAATTCAATCGGCCAAGTAGAACTTTACTTTAAGTTTGAAATAGTTTTCAAAATGGCGGCCGTGGTGGCCATATTGGATTTCTGAACGACCCGAAAAATAACAACACTTTGTCAGGACCATGAGTCGATCATTCCTACAAACTTTCAGTTCAATCGGCCCAGCAGAACTTGACTTAAAGTTTGAAATAGTTTTTCAAAATGGCGGCCGTGGTGGCCATATTGGATTTCTGAACGACCCGAAAAATAACAACACTTTGTCAGGACCATGAGCTGATCATTCCTACCAACTTTCAGTTCAATCGGCCGAGCAGAACTTGACTTTAAGTTTGAAATATTTGTTCAAAATGGCGGCCGTGGCGGCCATATTGGATTTCTGAGCGACCCGAAAAATAACAACACTTTGTCAGGACCATAAGGCGATCATTCCTACTAACTTTCAGTTCAATCGGCCCAGCAGAATTTGACTTTAGGTTGAAATGTAAAATGTTAACGGACGACGGACGACGACGGACGAAAACGGATAGCAATAGGTATATAGCTCAAGTGACCTAAAAACTATTATAAAAAAATGCTTATTATAGAGTGAATTGTATATTTCCTGTCAATAAACATTAGTTTAGTATGCAAGCTTACGAAAGATTTGAAACAAAATTAACATGTAATAATACAATCAATTTATAAGATACATATAGGCAAATAGGGCAATAACAAGATATACCGAAGTACACATCGACTGAGTGATTGGTTGTTTAATTATCCTATAGGAGGAACAGGTGCCCGCTCTCCTGAGAGGAACATAACTTACAGTTCAGTCAGGTCCTCAGGGGACTAGTTACTTTATGTATGTATTGTAGGCTTTTGCATTATATATTTGTGTTTTTTTACTTGTTATTTCCTTATGTGTTGTAACACTTTAACGGCCTACATAAGTAACGATTGCTTTCCGCCTTCAACATAATTATACATGCTAGATAACATGCTTTTAATACTTACGGTATCTGTCTATTACATTGAAATAAGGTTATTGATATGAACAGATTTGAGAGCCAAATGCACTTAGAAATTGTTTTTTCTTCAAGTTTTTACATTATTTGACCCATGTCTCTGAGAATAAGTACATATGTGTAAATATGTTTGATTTTAACAAGCATTACAGTACTCAAAGAAAACAATTTATAAGCATAATATCGGAACTCTATGCCTTACCGTTCTTTAAAAGAAATAGTTTGAAAATCTTGGAAGACTACTTGAGTATTGAGCAGGAGGAACAGGCGCCCATTTTTTTTTATAGGAACGTAACTTACAGCTCAGACAGGTCCTCAATCGCCTAGTTAGTTTGTACAGTTTCGTCTGGACGCATGAGCGTGGTGTTGTTTTTCGAATATTAGGGGAAATTACCTAATATTGAATGTTTTTACTTCATCGGGTTTTTTTTATTTTATT